ATAAACCTTGAAGTCACAAGAGGACAGATATTGTATGATTCTACTTATATGAGGTATGAAGAATAGTCACATTCAGAGACAGAGGTAGAATGGTGGTTGTCAGGAGCAGGGGACTGGGGTTTGGGGAGTTAGTGTTTAATGGATACGGAGTTTCAGTTTGGGAAGAAGAAACATTCTGGAGACGGATGGTGGTGATGTTTGGAGGATGGACCTTGAGAGAATAATATTGAGTGAAATGAGTCAGGCAGAGAAAAAGAAATTCCATATGTTCTCACTCATTGGTGGGAGCTAAAAAATTTGGAGAATTATATGAATAAATTTAATGCCACTCACCTGTACACTTAAAAAATGCTTTACATGGGAAACTTTGTTATGGTAATTTTACCATAATTTTAAAGAGAAAAATATGTAATAGAATTTAATGGTTGTCCATTTTATTTCAGCTTTTTTAAATATCCCTGGGCATGTTGGCTACTTTTCTTATAAGTTAAGAAACGAGTAAATAATTAGTAAGTGAACTGTTCATTCCTCACATGAAAGTAATTACTTTTGCACAGCTCGTGTTAAGCAGTTTAGAATTGAGAAGTTATAAAATAACAAGTGCAACAAACTCATTTTGTTAAATGAGTTAAATCCTCCTTTCTATCCACAAATAGCTCCTAAACAGGCCAGTAGTTGGTACACCTGCAGTTGATTTCCAGCGTTACTAGGATATTTGTCCAACAAGACTTAGTATTCATGGTTTCATATCTGCAAAACATCTTCAACAAAAAGTTGAAAGCAGTTCTTTAAATATCTCCTGTAGGGTTGGCTGGTTAGTTCAGTTGGTTAGAGTGCAGCCTTATAACACCAAAGTCACAGGTTTGGATCCCTGTGCTGACCAGCCACAAAAATAAATAAATAAGTAAAATGATTCCTGTAACATCCCATTAGCCTTAGGCATATATTTTACAGTCAGTTACACACAGACTTGTGTAATGGGACATTGATTCTCATTCCCATAGCACAATTGCCTCCGTAAGAGCCTGTGCAATGCCTTCTATGGCACATGTCCAACCATCCCCATCTCCTGGGGCAGTGGTACTGGTCAGGGACTTTGTGTAGACTTTGATCCTGAGCAAAGCCGGTTATACCAGTTAGGCATTGGCTTCATCTACTAGAAAAATCCATACCATGGTTTAAACTGATGAGGATCCATTTTTCTCATGACATAACTAGTCAGGAGTTCGGCAGAGCAGTTGTTGATGTTGGTTGAGATTTCTTTTTCTTTTCTTTTCTTTTTTTTTTTTTTTTTTTTTTTTTTTTTTTTTTTGTTCTTTCCCTCCACAGACTGTTGGAGCTCTTAACTCCAGGTCCCCTTTCAAGCAACAGGCAGGGAAAAAAAGCACAAGGGGTCTTTAAATCCTACAAGCCACACCTTACTTCTCATTGGCCACTTCTCTATGCAAGGAAAGATGGGCAATGCAGTTTTTCAACTGTGCACATTGCCAGAAGTTCTTTTACAAAGGAAGGAGGGAGAATGCATACAGGGTAGGCAAGCTGCCTCCTTAACTCCAGGGAAGCTCAGGCATTCCCAAATTCTGGCAGTGGTCGGAGAAATGAGGGACAGTGCCTCAACAGGGCTTGATAATTATATGGATGTGACAGCAGCAACCTCGATGTGCACTGTTCCTCAAATCACATCCTTTGTCCTTTTTCTTAGAGTATGTGATGACTCCTTCTTACCCTTTCTTCTATTTTTTAAAATTGGCAATATATTTTCTTTCTTGTACATGTCCTAGAAACATGATGTGATCTTAGGTAATTGGGGTGCTGAAAAAGTAGATGGGTTGCTCTAATCCATTTTAGCACGATGTGCTCCCTGAGGCACAGCACTGTGCTGGAAAGAGCATTGACTTGAGTTCAGACATAACCTGGACACTAATAGTGGAAGGGATAGTGAGCCTTAACTTATCTGTCAGATTTCTCTTCCATAAAATGTGTAACATGTCTGTTAGTATGGATCAGTATGTTTGTGTAAGTTCTAGGAATAAATATAAAGTGTGATATACATACTATATATTACTTTTGACAATTTAAAATTACATTTGCTTTTATTTTCATTTTGAAATACAAAGGAATGTACGGCAAGCACTTGTGCTCTACAGCAAGAGGGAAAAAATATAGATTGATTATTCTACAGTTGCATCTCTCACTACTTTATTTTCTTCTTCTAACTGCATTTGCCTACTTTAGTGTGTCAAGTAAGAATCATTTTACTTTCCAGAACACAGAAAGAATGTACAAAATTTAGAAGATTCCATTATAAGTCTCAACTTAAATAATTTGTTTATTATTTGAAAATATTTCTTAAGTCTTTCTGAGATTAACTTTCCATTCTAAAATAATACCATGAGTCGTTTTTCCCTTGCCTTATACTTCCTTTGTATCTCAGATGTAAGGCGTTCAGGATAAACCCCCTAAGCAATAACGAGTAACTTGTCTGGAATTGGCATATATTACAGAGATGTTAGGACATCGGTCTTTTTTGGTGGAATTAGATGTAATCAAGGAGATTGTCATGCCTGAGAAGGTATCGAGCTCCCTTAACCTTGGTTAGGGGATTGAGAAGTGACTAACTTGAAGATTATGTCAGTAGTAAGAGCAAAAAGTGGTAGGATTCATGATAAGAAGCTAAATTCTGACTTTATCTTACCTTTAGCACTCTAATTAGTTTAGACAAATCGACTAATCATATTTCCCCTTTTAGCACTGCTTTGGGAATTTTCTCTTTTAGGCAGTTGGGGTGGAGAAACAGCTCACCCCCTCCTGTCACTCACTGTAGAATTGAGATCAGTCCAAAGCTCTGAACTCAGCTTTGAAGTTATTGGTCTCTGAAGGGTGTGTCTGAGCAGAGGGCTAAATGCTTCCCAGGGCAGCTGGGGTTTCCAGATGGCAGTAGGTCCAAACTATAAATAGGGATATAAAATCATCTTCTACTCTGGTTCATCCAGTTTGGCAGAGGCAGGTTTCAGAAAAGTCTAGAAGTGACATTTCCACCTTCATGGGTTGATATTCAATAGCATAAATCATCTGCAATTGATTACTAGAACGAGGGTTTTTTTTTTTTTTTCCTTTTTTTGTCTTTTTTCGTGACTGGCAACGGATCGCAACCCTCAGTGTCGCGCCCATACCGAACCGGGACCGGCAACGGGATCGCAACCCTCGGTGTTGCTCCCGCACCTCGCTCAGCCAGTGAGCGGCTGGTC